CCAGAAGAATTGTTTGGGATACAAAGGGAAACCCATAGGTAACCACAAGAAAAATACAGGCTGCTCTGGAGAAGGACAGTGTAGTTGTTTTGAAGGAGCACAATATGATGACACTTGAACAAAAATGAGCTGCATGGTCGAAGTGCCAGAAAGAAGCCTTTACTGCATCAATGACACAAAAAGGCCCAGTTAGGCATGTCAAGGTGTTGTCAGGCATATTGTAACCAGGCTTTTTTGTGGCATTGGTGCAGTAAAAGCTTCTTTCTGGTACCTCGACCAAAACAGCTCATTTTTGTTCAAGTATAACCGTATTGTACTCCTTAAAAACAACCACACCATCTTTTTCCAGAGCAGCCTGTATTTCTTTTGAGGTTGCCTGTGGGTTTTTCTTTCAATCCGAGACAATTCTTCTGTCAGTTATGGCTGCAATCTTTCTTGGTCTACCTGACCTTGGCTTGGTATCAAGAGATCCCCGAACTTTCCACTTCTTAATAGGTAATTTAACAGTACTGATTGACATAGTCAAGGCTTTGGACATCTGTATATGTCCTTTTCCATCTTTATAAAATTCCATTACCTTGTTACACCGGACCTTTGACAGTTCTTTTCTGATCGCCATCTAGCCTAGTCAGTGCTTCCACGTAAGAGCTAACAAAACTCATTGACTATTTATACACTGACACGAATTGCAATTTAAAAAGCCACAGATGTGGGACATTAACCTCTAATTGGCATTTTAACCCGTGTGTGTCACCTTGTGTGTCTGTACCAAGGCCAAACATTCCAGGGTATGTAAACTTTTGATCATGGCCATTTGGGTGATTTCTGTTATCATTATGATTTAAAAAGGAGTCAACTATTTGTTAATAAATGGCTTCATATGATCATCATCCTTTAATAAAAGATCATTTTTTTGGCATGATCAGTCATATTTTCAATATCAATGCCAAAATTTCACAATTTCTCCCGGGGTATGTAAACTTTTGAGCACAACTGTGTGTGTGTGTATGTGTGTGTGTATATATATATATATATATATATATACACATATATACAGTGAGGAACAGAAGTATTTGAACACCCTGCAATTTTGCAAGTTCTCCCACTTAGAAATCATGGAGGGGTCTGAAATTCACATTGTAGGTGCATTCCCACACTGAGAGACAGAATAAAAAAAAATTCAGGAAATCACATTGTATGATTTTTAAAAAATTTATTTGTCTTGCACTGCTGAACATAAGTATTTGAACACCTAAGAAACAGCAAGAATTCTGGCTCTCAAAGACCTGTTACTGTGCATTTAAAAAGTCCACCTCTACTCCACTCATTAATCTAACTTAGTAGCACCTGTCTGAGGTCTTTAAAGACACCTGTCCACCCCACAGTCAGTCAGACGCCAACTACTACCATGGGCAAGACCAAAGAGCTGTCAAAAGACACCAGAGACAGAATTGTGGACCTCCACAAGGCTGGAAAGGGCTATGGGGCAATTGCCAAGCAGCTTGGTGAAAAAAAGATCAACTGTTGGAGCAATTGTTAGAAAATGGAAGAGGCTAAAGATGACTGTCAGTCTCCCTCGGACTGGGGCTCCATGCAAGATCTCACCTCATGGGGTATCACTGATGATAAGAAAGGTGACGAATCAGCCCAGAACTACAAGGGAGGAGCTAGTCAATCACCACAGTTTCAAAAGTCACTGTCGGTAGAACACTACGCCATCATGGTTTCAAATCATGCATTGCACGGAAGGTTCCCCTGCTCAAGTCATCACATGTCCAGGCCTGTCTGAAGTTTGCCAATGACCATCTGGATGATCCAGAGGAGGCATAGGAGAAAGTCATGTGGTCAGATGAGACCAAAGTAGAACGTTTTGGTCTAAAACTTCAGTCGTCGTGTTTGGAGGAAAAAGAAGGATGGGTTGCATCCCAAGAACACCATCCCTACTGTGAAGCACGGGGGTGGTAACATCATGCTTTGGGGGTGCTTTTCTGCAAAGGGGACAGGACGACTGCACTGTATTAAGGAGAGGATGAATGGGGCCATTTATTGTGAGATTTTGAGCAACAACCTCCTTCCCTCAGTCAGAGCATTGAAGATGGATCGTGGCTGGGTCTTCCAACATGACAACGACCCGAAGCACACAGCCAGGATAACCAAGGAGTGGGGCTCTGTAAGAAGCATATCAAGGTTCTGGAGTGGCCTAGCCAGTCTCCAGACCTAAATCCAATAGAACATCTTTGGAGGGAGCTGAAACTCCGTGTTGCTCAGTGACAGCCCCGAAACCTGACAGATCTAGAGGAGATCTGTGTGGAGGAGTGGGCCAAAATCCCTGTTGCAGTGTGTGCAAACCTGGTCAAGAACTACAGGAAACATTTGACCTCTGTAATTGCAAACAAAGGCTTCTGTACCAAATATTAACACTGATTTTCTCAAGTGTACAAATACTTATGTTCAGCAGTGCAAGACAAATAAATTCTTTAAAAATCATACAATGTGATTTCCTGATTTTTTTTTTTAAATGCTGTCTCTGAGTGGGAATGCACCTACAATGTGAATTTCAGACCCCTCCATGATTTCTAAGTGGGAGAACTTGCAAAATCGCAGGGTGTTCAAATACTTCTGTTCCTTACTGTATATATATATATAAATAAATCCTTGTTAAAAGGCAGGGCGGTGGGGAAGGGGGGGCGGGTGGTCTGTGTATGCAGTTTGTAAACCCTTGCCTTTTGTTAAATAAGGAATTTAAAAAAAGAAAAATGCTAGCCAAAATTGCTGAACCAGTGGGCAGGTCCACCGTATATGTAAAAGGTTCCCATCTGCCCACATCCTTGGAAACAGGTAGGCAGATAACCAGGCACAAATTTAGCAATTCTAGATAGGCACCAGATATGACAGTGTCAAAAAATTGTAGTTGCCTTCTACAGCAAGCACATTGCGAGAGCAAGATTTCATAGTGTCCCAGATATGGGACCAATCGGCAGCATCTAAGTCTATCACAGTGTCTGTTGCCCACTAATGAGTGTAAGTCGGGATGTGAGTAGGGCAAGTAGGATGGAATAAATAAGCAAGATCATTCCTGGAGAATGCTGGTCCTTACAGCACTGATGTTCAAATGGGAAAGAAACCATTGGACTACCTATTAACTTGATATAATGCTCAAAAAAAATTTTTAATTTGAAGATATCAATACTCTTCTATTAAAGGTACTTTAAAAGTCTGTTATAGCAAAGAATATGGAAGAAATTTATTACGGGTTTAAAAAATTGTTTATATTTTTGTCTGTGTTATTGTTGGAGAGATTCCTTTACTTTGTGTCTGGTAAAGCCATGTCATTTGATCAGAGCCCCATATAGCAGTTGAAACCCAAAAAGGTTTCTAACCTTTCCCCACTAAGTCAAAACTAAGAAAAAAAGTTGTTGGCTGGACATACAATTTTATTTTAATATACTGTACATGAAGGCACATAGAAACGAATAATACAAATTTATCATGCTTTTTGTGCATATTTTGTGTCCAATCTATGCAAATGTCAAAACATTTTTGTGTTTCAAGGAAGCAGGAAATTCACAGAAAAAAATACATAACTTCACTTTGTTTGTGTTGTGGTTGGAGATTTTTCCTCATTGCCTGTCTGCTGAGACCATTGTAACTGGGATGGTAGACGTCTCTCTAGCAAAACCCAAGATAGCAGTACAAACTGACAGGGGATTAATCCTTCCATGCTCTATACAAAACGTAAAGTGACTTGAGGTACACTTTAAGGTAATTAAACAATCACACTCAAAACAAATGCACATTCCCCATACCTGAAAGCAAAAAATGTCTGTGCCTGCCAACCTTTTTTGCATTATCCTATTAAACTGGTGGGGGCCCATGAAATGAAAACTGTCCAACCAACTTGCTAACCATTGTGTATCTGATGAAGAACCTGTCAGTTGCAGCTCTAACACAGCACAATGTGCGAAGGTCAGCCATTACCATCCTTATAAACACTTCTGGACTTAGCAAATCATCCCCTATTGTGCCTCACGGATGGTCAGGGATCGATATTAATTAATTACCACTTCATCCAGATTCTTCAACACTTTTTACTGTTTAAAGCAGAGTTTCACCCAAAAGGGGAAGTTCCACTTTAACAATTCACAGGTACCCACACCTACTTCCACCCTGATCACCTTTGGAAGCAAAGTTTCTCCTCCTCCTCCTCCCCCCCCCTTTAGTCTTCTGGGATATGTGACATGGGTCCCAGAAGACTGCGGGACTAATCGCAATGCGCAGTACTGTCCGTACATGCGCAGTGAGCCTCTGGCTGTACAACTGCAAGTTATCACAGCTGGATTCCCACACTTAAGATGCCAGCGCCAAGGATACAGGACGGTCGGTGATCCCGGCTGGGGTGATGACACCACTGGATCGAGGGACAGGTGAGTAGCTATTTTTAAAAGTCCGCAGCTACAGTTTTTGCAGCTGCTGACTTGTTTTTTCTTTTTTACAGGAAAATGGAGCTCTGCTTTAAGGGAAATATTATGGCTTCCACCAAGTTGAAGTTTATTAGTTTTGTACTACTCCCCTGTGTCTAAATGCCAATGCAAATATGTCACACTTTGTACAAATATTTGTGTAATTTTCTGAAAGTCATGTGACAGCATAAAGAATTAAAAAAAATTATTAAAAGTACTGCAGATGTATATGTGAATTAAAATTGATGAAAAGTGGGACCCAAAAGCTTCCAGGTTTTATTGCCAAAGCTTAATTGTACAAACTGAAGTTATACGTTACCGTGCACAGCTGCGCCAGATTCCGAGTGCTCCAGCTTTAGTACATCTACCCCAAATTGTCTGTTTTCAACTGGTTATCTGTAATCTATGTCCACCAGTGGTGGCAGAAACCCCAACCCCATAACTATTATGTGATTTTTTTTATCTGCTCATTTTTTGTTCTAATAACTAGATTTAGCAGATAAGTTATAAGATGCCTGGTGGCCTTTATGGCTGAAATGAATGTCACCCACAGCTGAACAGTGCTCTGCTCTTTGTTGTCTTTCCAGCATTAAACAGCTTGACAGATATGGACAGCTGATTCTGATCAACTCCTCTGCAGCGGACACTGGGGAGTTCACCTGCTGGGCTCAGTACTGTGACAGCTACGGCTGCAAGAAGGATGAATCCAAGACTGGCTCTACGTACATTTTTTTCACAGGTAGCCCAGTCTAAGTATAAAGGGTTATCTATTGCATGTAACATTTATATGTCTTACAAAAGGACACATAGTTAACATATCCAACAGATGAGGCATGTTTTTCATGGGTAACACCAATAGGTAACCAATAAAGGGTTACCTATTGCATGTAACATTTCTGTTTTACAAAAGGACAGAGAGTTAACATATACAACAGATGAGGCATTCTAACATATTGTTAGTGGTGGATTCAAGTAAAGCTAGCTGTGAGTCTGGTTTACGAACGTATACTCACTACTTTTGCTGTAATAGTTGTGACAACGTGATAATCTGTCACCCAGGATTCTCAACAAGGCAGGTTGAGGGGCTCCAGGGTAAGTGTTTGATACGGAGGAAAGTGGCTTTTCACGTTCCTCCATTGTTTGTAAGGTCTGTTTTGGGATCTGGAGCCTGGAGACCTGGGAGGGATGAAATCTCCAATCCTGTGACCAGGTTTTGGGAATGGCCAGGAGACTGATTGCACAGGTGTGTGCAGGCCTTTTCAGAGAGTCAGGATCAGGGTTCTGGGCTCCACCCCGGCAGATGGGAGTCAGGAGGGCTCCACCCCGGCAGATGGGAGTCAGGAGGGCTCCACCCCGGCAGATGGGAGTCAAGAGGGCTCCACCCCGGCAGATGGGAGTCAAGAGGGCTCCACCCCGGCAGATGGGAGTCCCTCCACCCCGGCAGATGGGAGTCAGGAGGGCTCCACCCCGGCAGATGGGAGTCAGGAGGGCTCCACCCCGGCAGATGGGAGTCAGGAGGGCTCCACCCCGGCAGATGGGAGTCAGGAGGGCTCCACCCCGGCAGATGGGAGTCAGGAGGGCTCCACCCCGGCAGATGGGAGTCAGGAGGGCTCCACCCCCCTCCACCCCGGCAGATGGGAGTCAGCAGGGCTCCACCTATGAGAGGTGGAAGCCAAAAGCAGCAAGGGGCTGCTAGAGACTAGCTGTGTGCTAGTGGCCAGTGGTGTGCAAGAGCCATAATTCTTGAAGAAGTCTGCAGGAGACAGACATCAAGCTGAGTATAAGCCAGGAGGCTGAATCGTTGTTTTGTTTGATGGTGGATACCCCTGCGTGGGAAGCTTTATGTTATGGGACATTTGTTTAAATAAAATTGGGAAAAAAGGCCCTTAAAGAAGCAAGTCGCTGTGTGCTTTAAATGAAAAGCTCTACCACTTTGAAGCGAGTTCCCACATAGTATTTACCACCATCTTAATCTAGTATTTATTGCTGTAGCTGAATACGATTTGTCTCAGATCTAATGGTAGGCTGTAGGGTAGCTTTAGAGGTTATTTGGGAGGACTAATTAATGTTTCAGGTTTACATGTATATTTTTTAGGGTCAGAACTGTTCTTCTCACACAAATTAACAGGAAGACAAAAGTATCTCACATTTGATTATAACGAAATTCAGTAGAATCTCTAATGCAACTGAAAGCATGCTGAATTTTCACATCTACACAAATCCTTCAATACACATGCAGTAAAAGTTATGGGTGCCAAAAAAAAAGAACATATTGCAGTAAAATCTACTTGTGTGTACTTTTCCAACCCATCTTGTTGACTTCTAAATTTGCATAACTACACTGTGCCATAAATGTAATTCCATACTGGCACCTTTAGTTTAGGGTACCCAAATTTCAAGGTGTAAGTACTTTAGTGAAAACGAGAATGACTCTACTGATACAAAGTTTGCCATGTTGAGATGGGAGGAATAATTTTATATATATTATGACATTAATCTTTTAAATACTTACAGACATTTTTATTTTAAATGTATTGTTGCACAATCCTAGTGTATTAGGGCATATACTGTATATAAACTCAAAGGGTAATGAGGGTTTTAAGGTTTGGACAAAGTATAACAATGTCATTATACTAAGACAGGGCTTTCTCCTAGCTCAGTGGTGGGCAACCTTTTTTTTCAACTGAGCCAAATCTCGCCAAAACCACGATTGAAATTTATTTTGAGAGCCACATTTTTAAAACTGAAAATACATCCCCCATATAGTAATTCATCCCCCATAGTAATTCATCCCCCATAGTAATTCATCCCCCATAGTAATTCATCCCCCATATAGTAATTCATCCCCCATATAGTAATTCATCCCCCATAGTAATTCATCCCCCATATAGTAATTCATCCCCCATATAGTAATTCATCCCCCATAGTAATTCATCCCCCATATAGTAATTCATCCCCCATATAGTAATTCATCCCCCATATAGTAATTCATCCCCCATATAGTAATTCATCCCCCATATAGTAATTCATCCCCCATATAGTAATTCATCCCCCCTACTAGTAATTCATCCCCCCTATAGTAATTCATCCCCATATAGTAATTCATTCCCCATATTGTGTCAATTCACTTACCTTTGCTCCGCGCGCTCCTCTCGCCGTGTTCCCGCACCGTTCCGGTCTTCAGGGCTGACTGTGAGAGGAGAGGAGTTCGTCACGCTGCCCCGCCTACATCCTGACAGCCAATGTTTGCCACGCTCCGCGGGCCGGATTAAAAGGTCCGCCGGGCCGTAGTTTGCCCATTGCTGGGCTAGCTGCAGAGTCCTGACTTTTGGGGCGGCCGCCCGAGAGGAGGGAGGGGAGCGGGCGCCCGGCACACAGAAGAGCCGCATTAAAATGTGTAAAGAGCCGCATGTGGCTCGCGAGCCGCGGCTTGCCGACCACTGTCCTAGCTGTATGAGCATCTTACTTGGGCTGGCCATACATTATACAATTCTCTTGAGAATTTTGCTTTAGATTTACCAAAAACCATGTAATAGGAAGGCAAACCTAAACAACACTTTCAATTGCATCCAATTAGGCAGGCCTTTGCACTACATAGTTGAAGGTAAATGTAGAGGAAATTGGGCAGAAATTGGACAGAAAATTGTATAGGTATGGTCAGCCTTAGTTATGGGCAACAATGTCCAAGGCCCTTGAATTACTCCCTTGTAACCCTTAGCAGCCCAAATGAATGGTCACAATGACCCACATGTTGGAGGTATCAAACAATCAGATGGGAAAAGAGGGGTGCTTTTATAAGGGTTTAATCAAGCAGATCTCAAACATTTCTGATCTACAACTCACACTAAGCCATTGCTCTCAGCCAGTGCTTTGGCCTTCAATATCTCATTATATATTTCAGCTGTGTCAGGGGCACCCGTAAGTACAGAGGATCAAAAGATGTCCAAGGCTTGTGAAACTTTACATGAATTATGTGGATGATTCAGTCTGCTAGCTCTCAACCAAAACTGAGCTAATAAATTTGAGTGTACTTCTGCTTTAGGGTAAAGTCTTTCTGTAATATTATGTTCAGGAAAGAGTCAGTCAAGGGTTAAGATAGATGCAAACATATCATTGTTACAAGGAAAAAAAATGCTAATGTATTATTTGCTATGTATAATATACAAGCCTGGCAGGAAGCATGTATTCTTATACATGGACTAAACTAAATGTAATAAAAAACATGTATCAGCTGTACAATCAGCAGTGTGCAGTGTATATGCAGACACCACTGAAAGAACAAAGACAGGAAAAGATAACATCAGCTAGAATTCCAAAATTAGATTCAGTTGCAAATATATTTCAAAAGGTGCCAGTGGTATTGAAGCACAGCTTGCGATTACAACAACTAATATAGCTAAGAAACAAAAATGTTGAGAAAAACTGACCAAACCTGACCAATACAAGAGGCAAGATATGTCATATGGAACCTCTAAAATGGAAATCTCCCTCAGGATGTACAGGACCTTGATGTAATAAACATGCTTTTCAATGAGTCATTATTATTTTTAGGCTACAAAGGCACCTTCAGGCTACAATTAAACTATATATATATATATATATATATATATATATATCTTTATGTTGTGACACTGCTAACCCTACTAAATGTACCAAAATGAGGACTGTTTGATTAAAGAACTTTTGGCTACAGGAAAAGCACCACAAAAGTGACCAGGGGAACATGGTTTAAATCAAGCCCTAGTTTGGTTCAGATATACTGATTATTATTATTATAGTTTCTTTTGATCTCCAATAACAGAGTTTCTGTTTTACTATTCCGTGCAAGCTTCCCCACAGGAGATATTTATCAGAAACTTCTGATATATGCTAGTTATAGTCTGTACCATTTAAAATGAGTACAGGTTAAATCTTTTTCCAAGCAATACTCTCAAAAAACTAATATTACTATTCTAATACAAGATTTATATAGCAATAACAGTTTGCACAGCATGTTAATATATAAAGGGAGATGATAAAGTTATAATACAATTCAATACAAGAGGATTAGAAGGGCCCTGCTCCTGGGAGCTTACAATCTAAAAGAGAAGGGTAAGTGGTACATATGATAACTGTGAGGGATGAGCTGATGGAGAAGGTAAAAGTACATTTTTTAGTTGGATAGGCTTCCCAGAAGAGATGAGTTTTCAGGGGCTACTCCATTTTTCTTTGTACTCATTAAAACAGAAAACATGAACATGAGAGATATCCCATGTGGCAGATACTGCTCTCCACTAAACCAACATTTAAAGTGCCATTCATAAAGCGCAGGACGCAGTGTGAAGCTTGCGTTCTCCCATAGAGTATTTTCTACATAATGCTGACACAAAGTATTCTAGGATTGTTAGCAAGGCCAGTTACATGATTTTGAAAGGTCATGTGACTAAGAACTTTTCTTCCCCTCTTTTTTCTTCCCACTTATTCTTCTGAATGTGAACCTACTTGCTTTAGGACTCTGAAGTGCTAAACAAGTACATTGATGTCCTTTATGTGTGGCTTTTAAAAGCAGTGGTATGGTCGTGGTTAGGTCATACCACTGCTTTCAAGGATGGCACATTACAGTGGCTCCTATTTCCGAGTCCTTATTGTTGTTCTCAATAGATATTAATATCCCCAGGCTCGTAGATGTTAGTTTTTGACCTCCAGCTTTCAGGCACTCCAGTGGTACCTTCATTAGGCATATGAATAAATTGGCCACTTTGCTGATAACACAGCTTGTGTAAAGCCAAACCCACAGATAAGATTGAAACAGCATGATGGAGAGCAGTATTAAATTAGAAACATTGCACTCAGTTAACAATGATGATGTAAACCTACATGTTCTTAACAAATGTAATGTCTTTTCCACAGATAAAGGGGAACTATTTGTGCCATCTTCTAGTTACTTTGAGATTGTCTACCTGCACCCAGATAAACCGGCCATCATTCCATGCCGAGTGACCACTGCGTCTGCCAAAGTAACCCTACACAGGGAGTTCCCAGCTGAGGAGATCAAGGCTGATGGCACGGAGATGACCTATGATGTGAAAAAAGGTTTTGTTTACCAACATCCCACTACCAACCAAAGTGGAGTGGTCTACTGCCGAGCAGAGGCCAGAGGAGCACCACAAATATCTATCAAATACCAGTTACTTTATGTAGAAGGTGAAGCAATTGCATGACTACTTAAACTACCATTGATGTGGTTACCTGAAGCTTGCTAAAGAAGACCTTCACAATCTTTTCATGTTCTTTTAAAATTAGAAAAAATAGGCAATGATGTGTATCATACTATACTTACGTTTGTGGTCAGAGTTAAGGCCAGGTTTTCAGAGGGTACAAGGCAGGTTAAAATACTTATCATGGAAATGATAAACAGCTGTTCTTATAACTAGAGATGAGCGAATTATTCAAAAATTCGATTCGGCTGATTCGCCGAATTTGAGGAAGAAATTCGATTCGATGCGAATTTATTCACTACGAATTTAAACTTTTTAAAAAGGGTTTTCTAGGCTTCAGAGAGCCTTTAAATTAGTGCAGAACACTGTACCTTTAATTTAAATGCCCTTGGAGAAGGAGAAGGATGAGAAGAAGAAGGATGAGAAGGAGAGAGGATGAGAAGAGAAGGAGAAGGATGAGAAGGATGGAGAAGGAGAAGGATGAGAGAAGGAGAAGGATGAGAAGAAGGAGAAGGATGAGAAGAAGGAGGAGAAGGAGAAGGATGAGAAGAAGGAGAAGGATGAGAAGAAGGAGAAGGATGAGAAGAAGGAGAAGGATGAGAAGAAGGAGAAGGAGAAGGATGAGAAGAAGAAGAAGGATGAGAAGAGGAGAAGGAGAAGGATGAGAGAAGAAGAGAAGGATGAGAAGAAGGAGAAGGATGAGAAGAAGGGGATGAAGGAAAGGAGAAGGAGAGAAGAAGGATGAGAAGAAGGAGAAGGATGAGAAGAGAAGGAAGGATGAGAAGAAGGAGAAGGATGAGAAGAAGAGAAGGATGAGAAGCAGGAGAAGGATGAGAAGAAGGAAAGAAGGATGAGAAAGAAGAAGAAGAGATGAGAAGAAGGAGAAGGAGGAGAAGAAGGAGAAGATGAGAAGAAGGAGGAGGAGAGGGATGAGAAGAAGGAGAAGGATGAGATAGAAGGAGGAATGAGAGGATGAGAAGGAGGAAGGATGAGAGGGAAGGATGAGAAGGAGGAATGAGGAGATGAGGGATGAGAAGAAGAGAAGGAATGAGAAGGGAAGGGAAGGGTATGGAAGATAGAAGAAGAGAAGGGGAGAAGGAGATGAAGAAGGATGAGAGAAGGAGAAGGAAGAGAAGAAGGAAGGAGAGGAGAAGGAAAGAAGGAAGGGAAGAAAGGAGGGGAGAGGGAAAGGAGAAGGATGAGGAGGGATGGAAGAAGGAGAAAGATGAGAAGAAGGAGGGGAAGAAGGAAGGGAGAAGAAAGGTGAGAAGAGGATTAGGGAGGAGGAAGGTAAGAGGAGTAGAAAAAGAGAAAAGGAAAGGATGTGGAAGAAGGAGAAAAGAAGAGAAACAAGAAGAATGAGAAGAGGGGAGAAGTGAGAATGGAAGAGAAGAAGGATGAGAAGAAGGAGGAGGATGAGAGGATGATGAGAGGAAAGGATGAAGAGGAGGAGAGAAGGAGAGAGGAGGAGAGAAGGGATAGAAGGAAGGGATGAAGAAGAATGAAGATGAGAAAGGATGAAGGAAGAGGAGAAGGAGAAAAAGAATTAGAAGAAGGAGAAGGATGAGAAGAAGAGAGAAGGATGTCGAAGGAGGAGAAGGAAAGAGGTGAGAATGAAGGATTGAAGGAGAAGGATGAGAAGGAGAAGAGAAGAAGAAGGAGTGAGAAGGAAGAAGGAAGATGAGAAGAAGGAGAAGAGGAGAAGAGAGAGAGAAGAAAAGAAGAGAAGAAGGGGGGAGTGAAAGAAGGATTGAGAATTCCAAGAAGGCAAAAGAGAGGTAGGGATGAGGAAGGGTTTCTCTAGAGAGGGTGAGAAGAAGGAGAAGCGATGAGAGAGAAGAAGAAGGATGAGAAGATAGAAAAGGAGAAGAAGGGTTTTGATGAGAAGAAGGATTCTTTTTTCATTCTTAAGAATGAGGATCTTCATCTTGTAGAGAAGGAAGAAGAAATGAAGGATGAAAAGATGAGAAAGAGGATGAAAGAAGAAGAAGGAAGAGAAGAAGGAAGAAGAGATGGAAAAGAAGAAGGAAATTCCAAGGGATAAAAAGAAGGAGGGAAGAGATTCCGCTAAAATTAGTGGGATATCTGAGGAGCTCTGCTAGATGAAAGGAAGAGCATTAGAGAGAAGCTCTGAAGATACACTTTTTGGCCGGCTTGGAATTTCTTCTTATTTTCATCTACTTCTTAAGTTCTTCTTCTTCTTCTCCTCAAGAAGATAGAAGAAAAAGGAGAAGAAGGTATGAGGATGAAGGTATGAATGAAGAAGTGAGAAGAAGAGAAGAAGAGGATGGATGAAAATAAGAGAATTCCAAGCCGGCAAAAGTGTATCTGCAGATGGAGCTCCGCTAAGTGTATGAGAGGGGCAGATCTCGCTATTTCTGATGACAGTTCTCTGACATTCACTCCATACAGCGGTTGAAACATTGTATTATTTGTTTCCATAATGGAAATCAAATAGATACAATGTTTCAAAAGCTGTATGGAGTGAGAATGTCAGAGAAAATGTCAGAAATAGGCTATTTCTGACAGTTCTGAATCATTGGACTTCTCCTCAACCGCTGTAATGGAGTATTGAATGTCAGAGAACTGTCAGAAATAGGCCTAGAATTTCTGACAGTTCTCTGACATTCACTCCATACAGCGGTTGAAACATTGTATCTATTTGTTTCCATAAATGGAAACAAATAGATACAATTTTCAACAACTGTCAAGAAAGCTGAGCTCTGCAGATTCACTTAGCGGAGCTCTGCATTATACATTTAGCGGAGCTCTGCAGATACACTTTTTGCCGGCTTGGAATTATTCTTATTATTTTCATCCTACTTCTTCTTCTTCTTCTCTTCATCAAGCCTCATCATCCTCAGAAGAAGAAGAAGATGAGGGATGAGGATGAGAGGATGAAGAAGGAAGAAGAAGAAGAAGAATGGAAGTGTATGAAAAAGAAGAAGAATTCCAAGCCGGCAAAAAAAAAGTGTATCTGCAGAGCTCCTCTATTCTGTAAGGCAGATACACTTAGAGGAGCTCTGATATGCAGATACACTTTTTGCCGGCTTGGAATTCTTCTTATTTTTCATCCTACTTCTTCTTCTTCTTCTTTTTTCTTATCTTCTTCCTCTGAAGATCTTCTTCTCTTCTTTCTGAGGAAGAAGAATGAGGATGAGAGAAGAAGAAGAAGAAGAAAAAGAAGTAGAGATGAAGAATAAGAAGAATTCCAAGCCGGCAAAAAGTGTATCTGCAGAGCTCCGCTAAGTGTATCTGCAGAAGCTATCTGCAGATTTCACTTTTTGCCGGCTGGAATTCACATTTTACAGCGGTTGAAAAGATTGTATTTATTTGTTTCCATAAATGAAGGAAAAAATGAAATTAGGATACAATAAAAGAAGTTCAACCGCTGAGCTCTGCAGATACACTTAGCGGAGCTCTGCAGATACACTGCAGATACACTTTTTGACGGCTTGGAATTCTTCTCTTATTTTTCATCCATCCTTTTAGAAGATTGAAATAAGAATAGACTTTTTGCCGAGCTTTCTTGGAAAAGAATGGATTTTCATCCTACTTCTTCTTCTTCTTCTTCTTCTTCATCCTCTTCATCCTCTTCATCCTCAATCCTCTTCTTCTGAGGATGAGGATGAAGAGGAAGAAGAAGAAAGAAGTAGGATGAAAGAGGATGAAAAGAAGAAGAAGAAGAAGAAGAAGAAGATCTGAAGAAGTGATGAAAATTCTTGAGAAGAATTCCAAGATCATTTTCAAAAAATGTATCTCAGAGCTCCTGAATTCAGTCTTCTTTACAATTTTCAGGAGCTCTGAAGAAGGAGAACAAGAAAAACAGATGCGGCTCTGGAATTCTTCTTCTTTTTCTTTTCATCCTAAGAATTCTTCTTCTTCTTCTTCATCTTCATCCTCATCCTCATCCTCTTTCTCAAGAAGATGATGAGATGAGGAATGAAGAAGAAGAAGAATGAAAAGGAATGAAGAAGAATGAAGAAGAAGAAGAGGATGAAGAAGAAGAAGAAGAAGAAGGATGAAAAGAAGAATGAAAAGAAGAAGAAAAGAATGAAAAGAAGAAGAATGAAAAGATTCTTCTTCTTCTCTTTCATTCTTTCTTCTTCTTCTTCTTTCATTCTTCTTCTTCTTCTTCTTCATTCTTCTTCTTCTTCTTCTTTTCATTCTTCATTCTTCTTTTCTTTTCTTCTTCTTCTTTTCATTTCTTCTCATTCTTCTTTTCATTCTTCTCATTCTTCTTTTCATTCTTCTTTTCATTCTTCTTTTTTCATTCTCTTCTTTCTTTCTTCTTTTCATTCTTCTCATTCTTCTTTTCATTCTTCTTCTTCTTTTCATTCTTCTTTTCATTCTTCTTTTTCATTCTTTTCATTCTTCTTTCATTCTTCTTTCATTCTTCTCTTCTTCTTTTCTTCTTCATGAAAAGAAAAATGAGAAGAATGAAAAGAAGAAGAAGAATGAAAAGAAGAAGAGAAGAATGAAAAAGAAGAATGAATGAAAGAGAAGAATGAAAAGAAAAAAGAAGAATGAAAAGAAGAATGAAAATAAAAGAAGAAGAAGAAAAGAAGAAGAAGAAGAATGAAAAGAAGAAGAAGAATGAAAAGAAGAAGAAGAATGAAAAGAAGAAGAAGAAGAATGAAAAAGAATGAGGAGAATGAAAAGAAGAATGAAGAAGAATGAAAAAGAAGAATGAAGAAATGAAAAGAAGAGAAGAATGAAAAGAAGAAGAAGAAGAAGAATGAAAGAAGAAGAAGAATGAATGAAGAATGAAGAATGAAAAGAAGAAGAATGAAAAGAAGAATGAGAAGAATGAAAAGATTCTTCTTCTTCTTCTTTTCATTCTTCTTTTCTTTTCATTCTTCTTCTTCTTTTTCATTCTTCTTCTGCTTCTTTTCATTCTTCTTTTTATTCTTCTCATTCTTCTTCTTCTCTTCTTCTTCTCATTCTTCTTTTCATTCTTCTTCTAATTCTTCTTTTCATTCTTCTTCTTCTTTTCATTCTTCTTTCATTCTTCTCATTCTTCTTTTCATTCTTCTTCTCATCTTCTTCTTCTTTTCATGAAAAGAATGAGAAGAATGAAAAGAAGAATGAAAAGAAGAAGTATTCCAGTACAGCAAAAAGTGTATCTGCAGAGAGCTCCGCTATTTCTGACAGTTCTCTGACAGTTCCAGCGGTTGACAGCGGTTGAAACATTGTATCTATTTATTTCCGAATAAAAACATCTGTATCCTAAATGGAAACAAATAGATACAATGTTTCAACCGCTGTACATGTGAAGGAACTGTCAGAGAACTGTCAGAAATAGCGGAGCTCTCTGCAGGGACACTTTTGCCGGCTGATCGGGAAAAAAAATCCGATTCGCGCACCCGAATTATGCAAATATTCGGATTCGACGCGAATCGAATTTTTCCTGAAATTCGAAACGAATTCCACTTCGCCTGGTTCGATTCGCTCATCTCTACTTATAACATACAAGTATGTAGGCATGAAAATTCAAATCTGTTTTTACTAAAATATGCATTTCAAAAATAGATGATAAAATTAGGGATGCACCAATGCCGATACCGAGTACTTATGAAAATGCTCTGGATAACCGATACCTCTGTGGTGTGATTTGAGCAGATACAAAATGAATGGGCTCAAATCACACTGCAAAGAATCAGATGCGAGTTGAACAGAAATGCGGTGTGATTCCTGTCCAAATCGCATGCGGTTTCCCCCACTGCTCTGGAGCTGTCATTTGTCTGCAGTGCTGAACACTCTGAGTCATGACCAACATGTGCTGGATATAAACCCTTGGCTTGGCACAGTGGACTATGGATTATTCTGGCCACACACATATTACACAGGTAAAGTCCCCTCACTATTTTCCTCTCTGTTAAGCTCCTATGCATTTTTTTTTTTTTTTAACCCTGTAACTGCTACCCAGTGTGCCACTCCAAGGTCTGGTGCCTTTGACTTTCTAGTGGCCTGTAAATCACCGTTCCTTCCCATCATCGAGGATCTGCAGCAATGCTCTCAGCGATCGGCGGCCCCCTTCTGACTTCACTTCTGCCATATAGCTGTAGAGATACCTGTAGGTATAGGGTAGAAGTGTCAGCTTGGAGCCGGACTGCCTATGCATCTCCTCCAGCCTTGCAAGCACCACAAGCAGTCGAGCATTCCATGCCTGATCAGGTAATGCCTTGCTAACAAAAGGGGGGCCTCTGATTACTGGGAACAATGGTGCAGATCCTAGATGATGGGAGAGAATGGTGATCTGCAGACCACCAGAAAGTCAAAGATACTAGATCCAGGAGGGGGGCACACGAAGGTGGCAGCTACAGGGTTAAAATAAAAAATTACATAGGGGCCTAACAAAGATGAAAATAGTCAGGGGATCTTACCTGTATAATAAGTGATTATGATATAATAAATCATCCACTGTGCCAAGCGTTCATATCCAGCACATGTTGGTCATGACTCAGCACTGCAGACAAATGACAGCTCCGGAGCAGTGGGGGAAACCGCATGCAATTTGGACAGGAATCGCAATGAATTCCTGTTCAAATCACATCCGATTCTCTGTAGTGTGATTTGAGACAATGATTTTGTATCGGCTCAAATCGCATCAAAGGTATCGGTACTCAGTATCGGTGAGTACTTGACCGAAAGTATTGGTACTTGCATCCCTAGTTAAAATTACTAAAAGATGAACGCTAGGCAATGAGTTTCATACACAGTCAAAAACACATTTTGAAAATGTTTTATCTGCTAGGAATTTCAGCTCTTATTGTGGCCTACACATTCCAGCCATACAGCCTGGTCCTCCCTGCAAACTACCCTACAGTTAAGCAATGCAGCTTGGCCCAAAACCCACCTTAATCTGTGAAAGGAGCAGAGGCACACTGATGAGTTTTCCCTCTGCTCTTCTATGTTCACAAACTACATAGCAAAAGACAACATCCTGAAATGGCTGTAAACTGATCCTTCCTTTCCCAGTGGGAATGCTGCTGTGGTGGATTACAAAAGGTTGATATGAACACAGATTCAGGCACTTATGCTTTTTGTATGTAAAAATGGTAAGATATCATTTTACCAATGATGGTAGTGTGCAATGCTTGGATGATTACAAATGTAGCTTTTCTTTAATATGTGCTTTTTGTTTAGTTCCGAGTGGTCCACCCTCTGCAACAATTACTTCCTCTACCAACAAGGTTCATAGTGGAGGGGACTTCAGCATCTACTGCACCGTCTTAGGAGAGCCTGATGTAGAAGTAGAATTTACATGGATCTACCCAGGACAAGAAGTAAGAATACAATTGTACATTTACATGATTGGAAACTAAATGTAGCTTTTGGTAGCCCAAATACTTATGCCCAAATACTTAGGCTTTATTTTTGCTGTCCCAATATTATATAAGCATAAGGAGGTTAGGATTTTTGTCCTTTACGGATATACCTTTTTTTAGTCTGGAACTCATCTTAAGTCTTCTAGGAGGTTCAAGGCTATAATAAAACATCTATAACATATTAACCACTTGCCCTATAGAGGATTTACCTCCCTTCCTGAGCAGGCCATTTTTTGCGATACGGTGCTACGCTACTTTAACTAATAATTGCGCGGTCAAGCAATGCTGCACCTAAATGAAATTATGTCCTTTTTTTCCCCACAAATAGAGCTTTCTTTTGGTGGAGTTTGATCACCTGTGCGGTTTTTATTTTTTGCGCTATAAACAAAAAAACTGACAATTTTGAAAAAAAAATCCAATATTTTTGACTTTCTGCTATTTTACATATCCAGTAAAAAATTTTGAAAAAATCAAATTTCGCCATAAATTTAGGCCAAAATGTATTCTGCTACATGTCTTTGCTAAGAAAAAAAATCCCAATAGGTGTAAATTAATTGGTTTATGTGAAAGTTATAGTGTTTACAAATGACTGTATATATACTGGAATATACTAGTAATGGCGGTAATCAGTGACTTATAGCGGTACTGCAGGACTGCAGCGGACATTCTGACACTGGGGGCAAACTAACTGCCACTAACATCCCCAGTGACACTAATAAAGTGATCAGTGCTAACAAAAAGCACTCGCACTGTACTACTGACACTGGGCAGGAAGGGGTTAACATCTGGGGCAAAGGGTTAACTGTGTGCTGTTTTACTATGTGGCCTGTGTGTGTTTTACTATGTAAGCATGCTGCTTTGTATTGCTTTGCTATGCAGAGCAATACAAAGCAGCATGCTGGTGCTGACAGGGGAGGGATCCAGTGATCGACAGCTGTAGCTTCCAATGGCGGGTCCCGGTGATCGATAGCTGTAGCCTCCAATGGCGGCATGGGTAGGGCGGTGTGCGCGCCCCTTACCCAGAATTGCAAAAAAAAGTATCTATACGTGATTTTGCGCAGCCCTAGTTCTGCTATAGGGCGGTCGGGAAGTGGTTAAGCACACACTTTTGTTAGTAACTACAATATTCATAACCTGAATCAAAAATTATTTTTCTGTACTGGCATTACATATTGCAGAAGTTTATAGATTATTTTGTTTTTTTTTTGCCATTATATGTAATATTTACAGTATATACTAACATTATATGTTTAATATGGACATAATAAACACTAACTAAATCATGATTTCACTCCAGGACACAGTGGAAGTATGTAATATTTACAGTATATACTAACATTATATGTTATATGACATAATACCTATAAAATGATTTCACACCAAGGACACAGTGGAGTTGACTTACTATAACTGGAAAGTGCAATATCTTGTGCGGCTGTGCATGGTGTCCAATCAGCTTCTAACTTCAGCTTGCTCAGTTAAGCTTTGACAAATAAAACAAAAAACAAAATTGGAAGCTGATTGGTTTCTATGCAGTGGAGAGAGAGAGAGTGACACATAGGGGAATTGGGAGACACAAACCAATGGACAAATATAAAAGGATTTAACCACATGCCGCCCAGCCACTGTAGAAATATGGCGGCAGGGCGGCACGGCTGGGCAAAACCACGTTTTAAAACGTGTGTTTTCAAAACAAGTAGGGGGCGCGCGAGGCACGCCGCCGCCCTACCTGTCCCGCCGATCACGGCCGCGGATGTCAGTCGCCGGGTCACAGCCGGTCGTTACCGGCTATGTCCCGGCGATTAGCAGCAATCAGTGACAGAGAGCACAGCTGAAGTAGCTGTGCTTTCTGTCAGTTCCCTGACAGCTGCTGCCAGGCTGATCGGGAGAGAAGAGTTTCTGTCCCGATCAGCGGTGTTCCCTGCAGTACACACCCCCGCCCCCTAGTAAAACACTCCCCTCACACAGTTAACCCTTTCACCGAATAATAAAGTTAACCCCTTCCTCCCCAGTGCCATTAGTACAGTGTCAGTGTTTTTTTTTTTTGGACTGATCACTGTATTGGTGTCACTGGGGATGTCAGTGACCCCAAGTCAGTTCCCCCCCAGTGTCAGAATGTCCGCTGCAGTCCCACCATAAGTTGCTGATCGCCGCCATAAGTCACTGATCGCCGCCATAAGTCGCTGATCGCCGCCATTATTAGTATAAAAAAAAAAAAAAAATCCCAGTATCTTTCCTGCCATTTGTAAACGCTATAACTTTCACGTAAACCAATTAATTTACATGTATTGGGTTTTTTGTAGCAAAGACCATGTCGCAGAATACATTTTGGCAGAAATTTATGACTAAATTTGATTTTTACATTTTTTTACTGGACATGTTTTATAGCAAAAAGTCCAAAATATTGTTTTTTTTTTCCTCAAAATTGTCAGCCTTTTTTTTATAGCGCAAAAAATAAAAAATGCACATGCGATCAAATACCACCGAAAGAAAGTTCAATTTGTGGGAAAAAAAAAGGATGTAAAGTTCATTTATGTACCGTATTGCATGACCGCGCAATTGTCCGTTAAACTAGCGCAGCGCTGTATAGCAAAAAAAAATGCGTAAATTGCAGTATCTATACCATAGTTTGTAGATGCTATAACGTTCACACAAAGCAATCAATATACACTTATTGGGATTTTGTTTACCAAAAACATGTAGCAGAATGCATTTTGGCCTAAATTTATGACCAACTTTGAGTTTACTATATATTTTTTATAGCTGAAAGTAAAAAATATCGTTTTTCTTCAAAAGTTTTGGTCTTTTTTTTGTTTATAGCGTGAAAAATAAAAAGCGCACAGGTGATCAAATACCACCAAAAGAAAGCTCTATTTGTGTGAAAAAAAAAGGACGTAAATTTCGTTTGGAAGCAGCACTGCATGACCACGCAATTATCAGTTGAATTAGTGCAGCGCCGAGTAGCAAAAAGAGGCCTGGTCATTAAGGGGGGTAAATCCTCAGGAGGGCAAGTGGTTAAAAAGTCCAACAAAAGTCCATAAAATGCTCTACTGTGTAATGACCACCAGCTGGAGGAGCTACTGTAGAAGCGACTCTGGAAAGATTCAACACAGGATAAAAAGCAGTGCAATCTGAGTCCAGCATTTAAAAGCAACATATTTATTTTTAAACTCACAAGAATAACACTTGGATCAAGCATGTCACAAGCTCTCACTGTCAGACCGGCATCTGCCCCACAGAGTTTGTTATCTACTGCCTTTCTTGCCGTTCAGCTTGCTCTGTGGGACGCACCATTTGCACCCAGATTTCTTCCATAGTATGTGGCACTATAGACCTGTACAAAATATCCTTGTTGTGATCTATGACTGTGGTGGAGCCAGTCGTGCAGTATGGGATGATTGGCCATTTTCTGTTTTTTAAACCTTGAAGGTGTTCCCACTCCTGTTGCATGTTCCATAATATGAAATACAGTTACAAATTGCAACAATCAGCATAGAACCCCCTTACAATAATCACCAAGGGGATGCAGGTTTAGAAACACAAGGACAAAGACTGCGTGAATGGACATAAGGAACCACTGGGTGTTTCAAAGTGAACCTTTGCTTTTCAATGGTAGGTCAAGTAATAGGTACATTGTATAGCAGGTAACATGCACAATGAGCACATACTAACCTGCTTATTGATACCCCACTGCCTTGATCTGCTGTTAGAATGGAGAGAAAAAAAATGGAAAACAAACGATAGTTTGTAAAAGATAGTAGGACAACCCCCCAAAAATTCTTCAAATATATTAATAGTAAAAAGCTCAGGTCTGAGCATGTACAAACAAAATAATCTAGAGTGGGTGACTGGGAACAAAGAGAAGACAAATTTATTAAGTACCTTTTTCAGCTCAAAGGAGCATGGAGGAGCTCATGTCCACAATAGGGATGATAATGACACAGCCCCAAATGATCCACTATGGCTCAAACTTGAAATTTTTAGACAGAATAAAAGTGACAAAAGCACCTGGACTGGATGGCATACATCCACGGGGCCTACAAAAATTAGCTCCGTCATTTCAAAGCCATTGTTTCTAATTTTTAGGGACTCTTTAATGACTGACATAGTACCACTGGATTGGTGTAAGGCCAATGTGGTACCTATATTTTAAAAAGGGAACAAAGTCTTTACCAAGTAATTATAGACCTGTTAGTTGAACTTCTATAGTTGGCAAGATACCAGAGAGTTTAATAAAAGACCACATAGATACTGGAAAAAAATATTTTAGGCATGGATTCATGAAAGATAGACGTTGTCAAACAAATCTGATTTCGTTTTATGAGGAGGTAAGCATAACCTTAGACAAAAGGAGTGGGTGTGGACATGGCATACTTGGATACACAGGCTTGGAAAAATCAGTTTGTAAATGGATAGAAAACTGGCTAAAAGATCATATTCAGAAAGTAGTGGTCAATGAGTCATACTTTGAATTGTCTGAGGTTATTAGTGGAGTACTCCAAGGTTCAGTGTTGGGACGCTTACTATTTTATATTTATAAATGATATAGGGTCTGGGATTAAAAGTGCCATTTCAGTGTTTGCAGATGACACTGTCAGGGCAGGGCTGTGGAACGGACAGGTAGGCCTAGTGGCAGGGTAACGCACTGGCTGACGACAACCACCACCAACAGACTGAAGTCCCTCAGGGCGCGGAGTCTAAGTCCCAGGCTGCCCTTCACCAGGGCCCCTGATGGTGGGGATGGACTTGACGCAACCAGGGACCAGGTCGCGGCCCCCGAGACACCCCAGCTGCGGTAATGGCCGCCGCCAATGGCGTGTAGCTGGTGAGAATGACAATAGCGTAGTCAGACAAGCCGGGTCAATAACAACGGGACAAAACAGTACAGAACAGTAGACAGAGAATCACAGGTCACGGGCCGGGTTCAGCAACGAAAGGTCAGATCGAAGGAAAACACA